AAATGGAAATTAAGCATCATGCAGTGTACACACATAATAGTACTGGTAGTACACACTGATAGTACTGGTGAATTAGAGGTGTGAATGGGGAAAACCTGAAGCAGTCACTGGCTGGCCATGTGAACCGTGCTCTGGGAAGCTGGGAAGATGACTCACACTACCAGAAAGATGCTCAGCCTTTAGATGGACTCATAACCTGGAACTTGAATGAGAAGTCCTGAGAAAATGTGCTTTTCAGAGCAGGAACAACAGGTTTGTTCAAAGGTCCTGGGGCATAGGTAGAAAAACAAATGTGGCATACTAAGTGGGCTGTAGACTGTAGACCAGCCTGGCAGAGAGGCTTTAAGAGAGGAAAGGTGGGGGGCTGGAGAGATGGCTCAGTGGTTAAAGGCACTGGCTGCTTTTGCAGAAGACTAGGGTTCAAGTCCTCATACCCATATGGCAGCCAGTTTGTAACTCCAGTTCTAGGTGACCTGAAATACTCTTCTGCCCTCTTTAGACATTGCATGACATGGGTGTACTTATAGAGATGCAGGTAATACACTCACACACATAGACTAAAAATAATAAATAAAATATCTAAAAAAGAGAGAGAGGAAAGGTGAAGAGAGCTAGTGCTTTTCAGTCCAGGCTGGTAGAAATATGTACTGCTGTATTAGAACCGAGGTAACTTTGGGAAGAAGCTGATGATACCTGTTTCAGAATTGAGGACCTAGAACCTTAGAATTTAACTTCATTAGGATCACATGGCCAACAGGAGAGAGTAAGAGCACCTTTATTTACCTTATGTGCTCTGCTCACAGTTTTGGACTTTCTCCCACCAAAGAGTTGTGGCTATGCCATGGTCTCATTTACCTGAGCAAGATTTGCCAGGTGAGGCACATAGTTCTACTAAAATGGGGGGCGGGGGCAGGGGCAGGTCCATGCAGTTGGAGGAAGAGATAGACCTTAGGAATAAGACACTGTTAAAGAAAATATGTAACAGCATGAAGTTTGGTGAGATGAGTACTTTGGAGTTTGGGAAACAGCAAGTGACAGGGTTTAGGGGCTGAGCCCCACTCCATGAGGTACAGAGGGATCTGGAGGGTGGGGCTAGCAGAAGACCTACCAGCAGAGTGGCAGGGTTGTGGTGGAGCAGACTGAAGTAGCCAACAGGAGTGTGGGCTGTGTTGGGGTACAATAGAAAGTGAGGTGACTATCATTTTAAATATGGACTTAGCATTCCAATTTTGACTGAGGATGAGGCAAGATAGGGGTCATGTGAGAGTGGATTTCTGTCTGATTATTATGGGAGGTGAAATGATTATTTTTGTGATCTACTTACATTTTGTTTTGCTAGGCTTTGCTAATTTCCTCCTTTTTGATGTGAAACAAAATCAGGAACCTTTTACAATGTCTTGTCAAACCCCTATTCCATCCCCACACCCAAGCTTTTGTAGCTTTCATTTTGTCTGCCCTAGGATGTGATGTGTTGGAATCGAAGAATTGTCTTGTAGTTCTTGCTCTTAGATCATTTGATGAACTGTGGGTCTTCTCAGAGTGTCCATTTGGCCAAATAGAGACTTAGAATGTACTACTTTGCTATCTAGCCCCTTTTTAAAAGAAAAATATTTATCTTTATGTGTGTGAGTATATTAACTGCATGCATGTAAATACACCCATGTATTCAGTGCTCATGGAGGCATCAGATCCTGTGGAACTGGAGTTACCAATAGTTGTTAGATGTCATGTGGGTGCTGGGAACCAAACCCAGCAGCGAGTGCTCTTAACATTGAGCCATCCCTCTCACTCTGTTTGACCCCGTTTAATCTTAAAGCTCTTTTACAACCATCACTGTTCTAAATGCTCAGACAAGGAGGATTTTCTGTGGTGCTGTTTCTGCTTTTTCAATAACCTTTGAATATGATCCTTAGCATATCATTTTACAACATGATAGAAAGTAAAATGACACTGATTGTGCTTTATGCGCATGCACCTAATTGCATGAATATTGATTACAGTGTGAGTTTTCTTTTGCCGTCATTTATTACTGGGGCTTGATATTGAGATCTTTGCTGAAGGATGTTTAGCAAGCCCTGTGCATGACAATCATGTAGAAAATTTAAGTCGCTTCAATTGAATGCTCATTACATGCTCAGAAACAAAGTGACTGAGTGGGACAGGTAATCTGGAAACATGCCTTTTAAAATTAGCATCCCAGGTGATTTGTGTGGCCTTGAAGTTTAAAGAGCCACTGGGTAAGATGGAATTTCAGAGTTAGTCCTAAACAGTGTCAGTCGTCGCTGCTCTTCCTGCTGCAGTCTTCTGTTAACTAGCTTTGTTGCCACTGTGTCTGCAGGATCTTCGTTTGGTCCTGTCTGTCTGTCTGTCTGTCTGTCTGTCTGTCTGTCTGTCTGATGAGCCAAAATCTCACTGTGTAGGCCTTTTGGCTGGGGACTTTCCTGCTTCAGCCTCCTTTGTTCTGGGCTTGTAGGTGTGCACCTGATACTATGGATACTGTGTAGACACAAGAACATGCTGTTGCTGCTGCGGTTCTGAGCACTCTGCTTATAACTTCAGCTTCATTTTTCAAAAGCACAATTATGACTTTGCACATGGAAAGGTGCTAATAATCCCCTCTGGTAACAGCTAGCTGCCTCAGGCATATTGCAGAGGAGGAGAGTGAACAGGGCTAGCACAGGGCCTGTGACAGGAGGATTTACAAGGTGGTATTTTGCAGCAAGGAGTTTTCACAATGGCCATGAGCATGAATTCTGTAGGGGACAGAGGCTTTTTTCGCCAGCCTACAACTATTTGCAGGACATCTTAAAAATAGGATGCACTATTTTTGTATTCTTTGTTATAATTAGCTTACTATGATAAAATCTGAATCCTTAAGACAGCTCAATAATAAATTATGATGATCATGTTTAGTTTGGTATGAAGTAAATGCTTAGTCTCAGTGGCGCATCCAGCAAGTGTTTGTTGAGTGGCTATTTCTGCAGTGCCTACTATGAAAATATAACTTCTGTCAGTTAGTTGTGGAGTCTCTGGGGGAAGAGAACAGCTCCTGTTACCTTTTTAGTACCTCTGTGAGGGGGGCTTTGTAATTTGATACCCTTTGAGTCACATCACTGAAACAGAGCAGAGACAAAGAATCTCACAGCTGCTTGCAGTCATTGCTTTTAGGCCTTTGGTGAGGCATAGTACATCATGGTGAGGAACCATAGCTAAGAAACCTGCTCACTCTGGCGAGCAGGAAGCAAAGAGAGAGAGAGCAGAAGAGAGCCAGGTCCCACAGCTCCCCTCAAGGACACAACCCTGCATCCTAATGTCCTTCCACAAGGCCCCAAGTTTTAGAGGTTCTATCACCTGATAGCACCAGGGGCTGGGACCAAGCTTCCTACACACAGACCTTTGCGGGACACGTATCCTAACTGGAGCAGCAACTTTAAAGCAAATTCTAGTTTGGGATAGTGACCGAGAAGACCGTTTTCTCACTTTCACATCTTCAGATCTTTCCCATAGCTTTCCTAATAGGAAGAGTCAAGTCTAATTACAGGGTAATCAGTGGGTATTCAGGGTGCCTGAATATTTGCTGTCACAGTGTTCACCAGCTTTCAGCATGGGTTGTCTGTCACTTCCTGTCTATTTTATGATCAGCGACAGGAATACTGAGTTCACAAACCTCATACCTATTTTGTTCACATTAATTTGCCTTTAGAGGCGACCAGTATGAACTCACTGAAAAGCCAGCCAATGTTAGGTTCTCCTTGTCACCACAGGCCTTGGTGTCATGTATGACACTTAGGAAAGTATGATTTCTATGAGTTGTCATATAATAATTAGCATTTGTGTTTAGTGGTCATTGTTCATCTAATCTTGTTAACTTGCCTAAGGCCACACAAGTGTTGATATACCTTAAAGTCCTTTTTTTTTTATTTTTTTTTAAGGCTTTTTATTTCCTGGCACCAACCTGTTTATGATAAAGACAGCATTGTGAGAACAGATTAAAATATGTTTACAGAATCTTCCTTTTTTCTCCTTTCTACCACAGCATTTAATGTTAAAAAATTAAAAATTTTTATATGTATGAGTATATTGTCTGCATGTATAAGTGCACCTGTGTCATGCAGTGCCCGCAGAGATCAGAAAAGGGTGTGGAATCCCCTGGAACTAGAGTTACAGATAGTTGTTAGTTGCCATATGGGTGCTGGGAATGAAACTCGGGTCCTCTGCACAAGCAGCCAGTGCTCTTAACTTCTGAGCCATCTCTTCAGCCCCAGTTTTTAGCACTTGCAGAGGATTGGGGTTTGGTTCCCAGCACCCACGAGTGGCTCTGTCGCCCTCTTCTGGCCTTCATGGTACAGCATGCATACCAGATACACAGATATACAGACAACACATACACATAAAATTGAAAATCTGTGAGAAAGAGCCGGGCGTGGTGGCGCATGCCTGTAGTTCCAGCTCTTGGGAGACAGAGGCAGGCGGATCTCTGTGAGTTCGAGGCCAGCCTGGTCTACATAGTGAGTTCCAGACCAGCTGGGGCTACAGGGAGACCCTGTTTCAAAAAGACCAAAAAAAAAAAAAAAAAAAAAAAAAAAGTGAGAAATCCTGAGAATATTGTGTAATAAAGAAGCACGGGTATGTGGTAGCCAGGGAGAGGCTTGAGTGGACTGCGTTCCATCACTGCTTTTCTGTTTCATTGAAGCAAGTCAAAGTATTTCCTATTCAAAAAACTGGGCTGAAAAATAAAACTTGGAATGGGAGGTCTATAGATCTAAGGAACATTAAAAACAGAAATAAACCAATAAATAGCTTATGTTTTAATGATAAAACTAATTTGAAGAACAATTGCAATGCTTTTATAATGGTATTTTTATGTCTATGTTTTATGCTGCTGTTTGTGGTTCTGTGTGCAGTGGCATGCATACTGCATCTTGTGTTTTATATATATATATTTTGATTTTTGTTGGCTGTCGATTATCATTTGATTTCTGTTATCCTTTCTTTTTCAGTCCTGATGATATTGGGACCTGCTGGTATATCCTTCTTTCTGGTTCCGTGTTCATTAAGGAGTCCATGTTTCTTCCAAGGAGCAGGTATGGTACAGACAAGATTTATGACCTTGAAGCTCGAAGTTCTTTCTGCAGAATAGAATCTTTTTGCAAGATTATTTACTGATACAAAACAAGGCACTATTTTGGGGTTTACTGTACATAAGTTTTTTGTTTATTTAAAAAATATTTTTATTTTGTGTATATGAGTGTATTGCAAATGTGTATGTAGGCGCACCCATGTCATGCAGAGCCCACAGAGGTCAGAGAAGGCGTCGGATCCCCTGGAACTGGAGTTATGGATGGTTGTTAGTCACTGTGTGGGTGCTGGGAGCTGAACCTGGGTCCTCTGCAAGAGCAGTCAGTGCTCTTTAACTGCTGAGCCATCGCTCCAGCCCCTGTATATAAGTTTTTAAGAATGCTTATTTTATACTATGAGTATTGTTCTAATGTCCTTAACAAGAAACGATGCTGGTAACATGCGAATTTGTCACATGACCATGTCAGCTGTGCTGTCGGACACCTTTGTCCATAGCAGATAACACTGGGCTCAGGATGACTTCTGGAAAAAAGAACGAACGTATAGCAAGCAGTGTTGTAAACGTCTGAAGATAGACAAAGAATGCTCACAAGACCACAAGGGACTAGAAATGGAAGGTCTAGGAACTGTCTTTGACTTTGCTGCTCTTGGGACTGTCTGGTCTCTCAGCTTTGCATTTGTCTTTGAACTGGCCTTGTGCTCTCTAAAGCTACTGATTTCCCTCTCTCTGCGCTGTGTGTGTGTGTGTGTGTGTGTGTGTGTGTGTGTGTGTGTGATGACTGTTGATTTATGACCTCATGTGTCTAAGGTTTATGCCATTTAACTGTAGTGCCCATGTCCTTTTGTTGGATACTGTAGGGTACAATCTGATTGGTTCAGATGTATACCTCTGGTCCACTTAGCTGTGTCTAGAAAGGCTCATCTATTAAAACATGGCTTCTCATGTTAAGGTTAGCCACTGAGTGTCAGGAGAGACTTACTTACTTTCTTTCTTTCTTTCTTTCTTTCTTTCTTTCTTTCTTTCTCTCTCTCTCTCTCTCTCCTTATTATGTGTTTATTACAAATAACATTTTATTTGAACTAATTTTTTAAAAAGTTTTTAGCCAAGCATTTTATATTACTAAATATTTAAATTGATTAAAGTATAATGATCTCATCTTGCATTCAACTATTCTGGTTAAGTAATTCTGGAAAGATTAGAGTTACATTAAGAATTTATTTTAAAAATGTGGAAAAAGTTTCATATAAAGTCAGAGCCAGTGAGCTATGTGAAGAGAGGTGGTTGGTTTTATAGGAGGCTAAGGTTGGCCTAGGTGTGGCAACAGAAGGGGGTGGAGTGGGTCTCAGAGGCCATAAGGGCAGTGAAAGAGTACGTAGTTCCCATGCCTCTGCCTTCTGCTTGACTGTAAGCTTTATTCTCTTAAGAAAATGATTTCGAGGGAAGAAAGTCTTTTTGCCGTTTTTATAGTAGCAATAGTCTTAATAGTGAGAATAGCATTGGTAGTGGTAATCTAGTAATTGTAATAGTGAAAACATGGTGACAGAATTAAAATAACCAAATACCTAAGGCGTTTATACTGCATCTGGTTTGACAGGACAATTTTAAACATTTTGTATCTATTAAATAATTTAATTTTACTATTCTCCTTTGCATGTAGCAAATATAGAATTATTATCTACATTTTACAGGTGCAGATACTTGAGCTGTGTAGGGTATTTGCACTTGATACAGGTCCACTAGAAAGCCTGTGAATTCTAGGAATAATTCCTCTAGAAATGGAATTCCCAGAGGAATGGAAAATGAGTAGTAATCCTTCTCTTCAAACATAAGACATGGTATTTTATCCTTTGGAGTTTGTGTCACATTTCTAACCTTGTAAGAATAAAAAAACAACATTTAAGCAAAACATTAGAATGTTTTAAAAAAAATTATGTGATTTCAGTTTAGAAAATAATGACAGATGAGCTATGTAGATTTTCAAAAGTAAGGAAGAGACAAACCTGAAATCTCTCATGCAAGATGATCATTCTTTAATTTCTAATGTTTTTCATTCTAGACTTTTTTTGTGGTGTGCATGCGTGTGTGGGTGTGCACACGTGTGTGTGTGCATGCATGTGTGCATGTGTGTGGGGGGGTAGGTGGTGTGCGCAGGTGCTCTGTATGCTTAAGAACATCTTTACCTATAATTTACCATCTTGTTTATATTGGTTAAAGAATGTGTGTATATGTGCACATTGCTTTTCATTTATTAGAGCATCTTTATACAGATTTACTCTTGATACCTTTCAAAATCTGTTTAACTTTCCACAATTTAGTTCAGTAATTGTAAAGAATCTTTGATTTTTGATTATAAGTCCTACCATGGTAAACACAGTCTAGAATTCATGGTGTTAAAGGATACTGTCGTCATCTTGCACAAATAAAATTTGTAGACTAAGCTCTGGAGCAGAGAAGGAGCCTGTGATGGCTTCCTACCAGCCACTGTCAGTCAAATAACAGCTTGTTCTAACTCCTGGAAGGGAACCCAATGTTCAGAAAGCTGCTGTTCTACGAGGAGGACTTTCAGTTCAGACCCATTTCATGAACACATTAGACTCTGATTATTTTAAAAGATGACATAAGTTACTCTCTCTCTCTGGCCGCATGTCAGTGCTTGTGAGCCAGGACTTTAATAGGATGAAGGAACAGTGTTTCGGACTGAGTGACAAGCCAGAGGCTATATATAGGCTATTTCTTCATGTTGCACCTGGTGGCATTTACTCTGTCCAAATGAGTTGTTTGTTTCCTTTAGTGATGTTGCCTCAGGAATAGTTCTGAGGTGGTTCTGATAGGAAAGAGTCAGTCTAACTGGTGCTGTTTTGGAGGTTGCTTTAGTGATTCATGTGTAGATAGTTCTCTTTCTAGAAAATAACTGAGGTTCAGTGTGGATGAAATATTAATATCAGCCCAGTTTTTATGAAACTAGGTTACAATAGACTTTCCTTACTTAATCATCCTGTAAGTCTGGAAATTAGTTGTCCATCTATGTAAATAACTGAACCTCCTGGTGATGCAACTCATTTTACCCTCAACAGATAGTTCACCCTGAACAGGCTAGCTTTGTCAGGAGTATTTTTAGCAACATTTTCATAGTTTCACTAATTCCAAGGAAATTGCTTTGATACTTGTCACTTGGCTTCCAGATTCATTAACTTTATTCAAGTCCTCAATTGACACTGAAATCGACATTTTATGTTTTTCTGTCCTTTATTGTCCTAGACAGACGAGAGCTGTTTTTGCTACCTGCCTTTACTTTGGTTGTTTGAACATGAGTATTGTCCCTTCATAATACTTACAGACTTTATGAATTCCTGTGTGATTATTAGTGGCACCTGACATCCCTGCTTCAAGCAATTTCATTGGTATGTTGCTTTTAGAAGACTTATTGTAAATATATTAGTAATTTTTCAAGTTTTGAGCCATAAATATTATTTGTAATACTATGTTTTTTTTATGCTATCACATAAAATGTTGCCCTGAGACCAAGCTAATCTCTTACTTTTAGAGTTCACTTACATTCTTAAAGTAATGTACAGTTTATAGTTGCATTTTCTGCAAGTTTTATGTAAGTGATTTCAGTTTTTTTATCTTCATAGAAAGGCTGTGAGCAAAGCTGATTTAGAAATATAGTGTGCAGGCCTGGCGTGGTAGCACACACCTTTAATCCCAGCATTTGGGAGGTAGAGGCAAGTGGATCTCTGTGAGTTCGAGGCCAGCTTGACCTACCTTGTAAGTTTCAGGACAGCTGGGACTACAGGGAGACCCTGTCTCAAAAACCAAAAAAGTATGTGGGATCAGAAGGGGCATTTGCTGTGGGTGAGTACAGAGGCAGTACACCCTGTCCACTTTCCAAGCAGCGGGGTGAGGCAGGGGTATCTCCTCTGATGTGTGGGGCTGCATACACCCATACTCACGAGGGTTCATGTGTTAGAGCAGTGAGGTGAGGCAGGGGTATCTCCTCTGATGTGTGGGGCTGCATACACCCATACTCATGAGGGTTCATGTGTTAGAGCAGTGAGGTGAGGCAGGGGTATCTTCTCTGATGTGTGGGGCTGCATACACCCATACTCATGAGGGTTCATGTGTTAGAGCAGCGAGGTGAGGCAGGGGTATCTCCTCTGATGTGTGGGGCTGCATACACCCATACTCATGAGGGTTCATGTGTTAGAGCAGCGAGGTGAGGCAGGGGTATCTCCTCTGATGTGTGGGGCTGCATACACTCATACTCATGAGGGTTCATGTGTTAGAGCAGCGAGGTGAGGCAGGGGTATCTCCTCTGATGTGTGGGGCTGCATACACCCATACTCATGAGGGTTCATGTGTTAGAGCAGTGAGGTGAGGCAGGGGTATCTCCTCTGATTTTTTTTCTTCCTAGAAGCACAATGTATCAAAGGAGTAGGACTGCAAAACTGTGATGAAATTTATCTTAAGTTATAGGGCTAGAAATGATTTTAAATGTATCTTTGGTTTCTGCTACATAATATAGAAAATCATTAATAAAGTTTATTGCCCTTAGGTACCCTAAATCAGTACGTTTAAAGATCTGTACTAGATCTTTAATCACAATGATTTACTAATTTTTTATAAAGAACTAAATATTTAAGGAGATGGAAATTCTAATTATCCTGAGTTGATGATTACACATTGTTTGCATATGTTGAATAATTATACTATACCTCATAAATATATACCAGTTATTACATATCAATAAAAGAAATTGTTAAATACTTTAAAATTTCTTTTATTGTTCCTGTATTGTGAATTTTGAAGCCCTGTTTGTGATAAAGCGGAATAATAACTTCAGTTTGTGTTGTTTTTAGAGCTTTTTCTTAAAAAATTTTTTTTTGAGACTGTCTTGTTTTGAGCTGTAACTGGCTTGGAACTTGATATGTTGACCAGTCAAGCTTCCAAATTGCAGGAATCTTCCTGCTTCTGCCTCCTTAATGCTGGGATTATAGACAGCCA